GGGGCGCGGCCCGAGCCGAGCGCGACACGGTGGTCCCTGGGACCCGGCCGGGGGTCCCGGCCGTGCGGGTGGGGGGCGCCGGGGCGGCCCGAGGCGCAGCCACACGATGCGGCGGCGCTGGGCGGGCGCTGGCTCTGCGCCGTGGGCGGCTGGGACGGGGCGCGCCGTCTGGCCGCAGTGGCCGCCCTGGATGCGGAGCGCGGAGAGTGGGAGGCGTGGACGGCGGCCCCCGGCAGCTGCCCCCCTGCCGGCCTCAGCAGTCACACCTGCACCCGCCTCTCGGACCGAGAGCTGCGGGTGGCAGGCCGGGAGGGGGGGACGCGCACTCAGCGTCGCTATGGAAGCATCTACACGTTGAGGCTGGACCCCGGCGCCCGCACCTATTGGTATGGCCCCAGGCCCAAGTCCTGACCCTCCCCCTTCGTCCCGCTCGGCTAGACGGTGTCGCCAGCCGTCCATCCACACCCTCCCCTGGCAGCCTCCTCCCCAGGCCGCTAGGAGGACCGAGCTCTGCCAACATGACCCTCCCCCTCATCTGCCCCAGGCCCCCTCCGACCTTTGGCAAAGGGGGTGGGGAAAAGGCAGGACAGCTCTTAGTTTCCGGAAACCCCGACTCGCTGGCCGACCTGGTGCACATCCTCAGCTACAGGGAAGAAAGCTGCCGCTCGGCCTCCCGCTCGGGGCACTGCGCCGCCTTGCTCCCGACTCCTGGGCCCCGCCCCGGTCACCAGCTGCTGCTCTTTGGAGGCTGCGACTCAGCTGAGCCAGAAGTGGCCGGGCACTGGGGTTATGGGAAGATTCAGGTATCGCTCACACCCTGCTTAGGCCGGAAGGCAGTTAGAACTGCGGCGCTCACACCCCTCCAGACAGACAGCCCTTCTTTCTCCCCGAGGAGGAAGCGCCTGCCGCCCCGCGTTTGACGGAGCAGCTAGCAAAGCTCGTGAGCAGTGGGCAAGGGTCCCGGCAGGGGCCTCGGGGCCTCCGGCATCATTCATGCTCAGTGGTTGGGCCCTTTGCTGTGCTGTTTGGTGGAGAAACTCTGACCAGAGCTAGAGACACCATCTGCAATGACCTCTACGTCTACGATGCCCGTGAGAGCACATTTAAGGACTGGTGAGGGGGAAGGTGGGAAGACAGGAGAACCTAAAGAGCATAGAATGGGGTAGAGTGATGGAGGAGGGAGAAGGAAGAATGAGCTGACAACTTAAAGGAACACACAGAATATTAAATTTTGAAGAGGCCCAATAATCAAGTGAGGAGGAAAAAAAGAGCGAGCCTTTGGTCTAGCCCAGGGGTGGGCAAACTTTTTGACTCGAGGGCCACAATGGGTTCTTAAACTGGACCGGAGGGCCGGAACAAAAGCATGGATGGAGTGTTTGTGTGAACTAATATAAATTCAAAGTAAACATCATTACATAAAAGGGTACGGTCTTTTTTTTTTTTTTAGTTTTATTCATTTCAAACGGGCCGGATCCAGCCCGAGGGCCGTAGTTTGCCCACGGCTGGTCTAGCCCCTGGGTGACCAAGTGCTACCACCCCAATAACCGCTTCCTCTGCCTCCCCCCACAGGCAGGGCTCCTTCCCTGTGGTTCCACTTCCCCTGTGCAGACCGAGCGCTGAAACGCATGGGCCATCGGACCTGCCTTTGCAATGACCAGCTGTACCTGGTTGGGGGTTTTGGGGAGGACGGCAGGACAGCCAGTCCACAAGTGTGCACCCTGGACCTCTTTCTCTAAAGAACGGTGCCAAGACACACTGCCATGCCGCTGTTTTATTGTAAACTCAAAGCATTATCACCAGAGCTACCTGCCTCACGTCAAATGCTTATTAAATTTCCATCTAACAGTCAATATTTGTCTCTGAATCTTTTGGGGTGAGGGCAGTAAGTAGACACATCTGCCCTGGTCAGTGTGCTCAATGGTTAGAGTGTTGGCCCAGCACACAGAAGGGTCGATTCCCGATCTGGGACACATACTTGGGTTGCAGTTTCGGTCCCCGCCCCAGTTGGGTCAAGTCAGGGAGGCAACCAATCCATGTCTGTCTCTCCTCCTCCCCCGCCCCCCCTTTCCTTTCACTAAGAAAACCAATGGGAAAAAATACCTTTAGGTGAGAATTAACAAAAAACACAAAAGTAGAGACATCTTTGTATGCAAGGCAAAGGATAAAGCATGGGCCCTCCCCATACTGTGGGCCATTCACCTGACGGAACCAAGGCCACCACCACATGCTCTTCCTGCCCATGCAAACCCTCCCTCACGGTGGGAAGAAAGCTTCAGGCTAGAGAGAAGCATTCTGACTAAAACATTTAATTAACAAAAAATATTATAATAGCAGAGAAAGTAACAACAATAACGAGAAATTAGAGTGGGAGTCAGGTAGGAAAAAATGCAAAAGCCTTGATCCCTAGGAGACCAACACTCCGGCTGAGCTGGCCTTCGCCCCAGCTCCTTCTGAGTTTTCCTTGGCTGGCTTCTCGTCCTCGCCCATGAGCCGAATATTGTGCTTTTCCCGGAATTCATTTAGTTCTTTTCCCTTTGCCTGAAGCTGCTGTGTCAGTGTCTCAATGATCTTCTGAATCTAGAAAGCAAGGGACAGACGTTACATAAGGACTGCCATCCCCACCCTGGTGTGGGGTAGGGAAATGAAGAAGACACGACACCTCCAACCTCGCCTTTAACCAGGTAGGAAAGTAGAGCCAGACACTAAAATTACTCCTTCTCAAACACGAGGTTTCATAAACCTAGTGTACACAAGGATCCCATGGACTGCTTTTTCCCCCCTAATATATTACTATTGATTTCAGAGAGGAAGAGAGATAGAAACATCAATGATGAGAGGGAATCATTGATTGGCTGCCTCTTGCACGCCCCCCACTGGGGACCGAGCCCGCAACCCAGGCATGTGCCCTTGACCGGAATCGAACCCAAGACCCTTCAGTCCGCAGGCCGACGCTCTATCCACTGAGCCAAACCGGCCAGGACGACTGCTTATTTTTAAAATGCCACTTCATGGGCCCCAGCTCCAAAGGCTCTGAACCAGGACAGGGTCTAGGAAGCTGCATTTCAAATTAGTCCTCCAGGTGATTTGGACGCAGGTATCCATGGAAACACTGCTGTCACCACCTTTTTTCCCCAAATCAGCCAGGTCACAGAGCCCAGGGATAGAGGCGTACAGCCTCTTGTCTAGGAGTTGGACCTAGTGCAGCATAAAGAGCAGAGGCTAAGAGGCTACTCAGACTTCCTGCCGCCTATCCCCTAAATCCCTGCCCTCCTCTTCCCTATCCCTTGGTTGCCCAGAGCTCTCCTCAGAGACTCTAGCTCACCTGCTCCTTGTTGTTCTCCAAGGCAGGCAGCACCTCTTTGACAGTGCGCTCCACCAGCACCCCTCCAACCATGCGGAAGCACTTGCGGGTCTCATCTACCTCCTTCAGTGTATCAATCACTAGGCTGGGGCAGGACAACAGACAGGGTCTCAGAATGCAGGCCCTGCTACTGCAGCCCTCCCTACAGAAACGTGCACCCAACTCCCCAGCTGCCTCACCTGTGCTCATTCAACTCCATTTCCAGCTCGGCTGCCTTGGATGCTAGGCCCCGCTGTTCCTGCCGAAGGCGGTTGAAGCCAGCAATCACCTGAGGTGAGAGACATAGGAAGTGAGAGAGGAGGCAGTGAAAATGGCAGAGTCAAGACACAATATATTATCACAGGCTTTAAAGATGCAGTGGGGGACACCTACCTCGGAAAAGGAGAAGACACATGTTTGCCATTTCTAACTGAGGTCTGCCTAGAATTCCATCCACCCAACACTTACTGAGTGCCTCCGTGTGGCACCTGCTGGTCCACCTTGCAGTAACAGCTGGTGAGGAGTTGCAACTGTAATATAGGGTGGGGTGCAAAGCTACTGGATCACTTACAGAGGAGTGTAGACTTGCAGGTAAAGGGGAGTCAGGAAAGGCACTGTAATGGCTAGGTCCTGCCTGGGTCTGCCCAGCACCCCCCCATTGGGGAACCGCCTCTCCTTAACACAGTGGGTTCTTGGGGGGAGGGGAGAGCACTAGTCACAGGGTCTTGCTCCCTGACCACAGGGCAGTGACCTGTTCTGTGCTAGTTTCTCCACGGAATTAGATTCTGGGTAGAGATGAACAGGTACAGAAGTTAGTCAGAGCTAAGACACCCTGTTGTCCTTTGTGTGAACTAGTTATCTGACCTTACTTTTTGGTGTTCAATTTTGTGAACTACCCCACCGTTCTTCTAAAATAATCCTTAAAAGAAACAAACAAAAAAGCCTGGCCCCGGGGCTCAGTTGGTTGGAGTGTCATCCCGATGTGCCATGGTTGTGGGTTTGATCCCCAGTGGGGGCAAGTACGGGAGGCAACCGATGGATGTTTCTCCCCCCCCCCCCTAAAATCAATAAAAATATATCCTTGGGTGAGGATAAATATGTGAAATACACATTTCTTCCCTTTCCATCTACACACACAAAACCAGTAAGGAGGGGAAAGACCTCTCAAAGAATATACTCCAAAAAATTAAGAATAATTATCTCTTGCCCTGGCTGGTTTGGCTCAGTGGATAGAGTGTCGGCCTGCGGACTGAAGGGTCCCAGGTTCGATTCCAGCCAAGGGCACATGCCCGGGTTTCGAGCTCGATCCCCAGTAGGGACGTGAGGGAGGCAGCCAATCAATGATTCTCTCTTATCATTGATGTTTCTGTCTCTCTCTCCCTCTTCCTTCCTCTCTGAAATCAATAAAGAAAAAAAAAGAATAGTTATCTCTTGATAGCAAGATCATGGGTAATTTATTATTTTGTACTTTTTTCTGTGTTTTCTACATTTTCAATAGAATAATATATCCAGTGATTCCCTTACTATTTATATTAAAAAGTCCCAAATTGCCCTGCTCGGTGTGGCTCAGTGGTTGAGCATCAACCCATGGACCAAGAGGTCACAGTTCAGTTCCTGGTCAGGGCACAGGCCCGGGTTGTGGTCTTGACCCCCCAGTATCAGATGTGCAGGGGGCAGCTGATCAATGTTGCTCTCTCATCGGTGTTTCACTCTCTCACTCCCTCTCTCTTCCTGTCTCTAAAAGTAATAAAATATATATATATACATTTTTAAAGTCCCAAATAATTTGCCATGAAGAGATTCAACTTACTTTCAGGATATCTCCTAAATTATACTTGATGATTTAATTAAACTAACAGCCAGTGCATTTCCTGAAGATCTATGCTTTCCCTCTCTCTCCTTTTCCTACCCTATTTCCACTGCCCCCCTTTCAAGTCTATCCAGTCCTCAGGGTCAGCTCAAATAACTGATATGATCACGGTGTAAGTGAAGAAAGAAAAGTCTGATTCTCAAGGCCCTCAACTAAAAGCCCTGCTCTTCAAGTCACTGACTTTGGGTAAGTTAACTAACGCTTCTGAAACTCGACTGTCCTTACCCGTAAAAGAACAATACAGCTCACTGCAAATGGCAGTGAGTAACAGAAGTAAGTGCAGTGCCCAGCACAGTGTGCGACTGCTTCCATCTTGTTTGTAAGGGACATATGTGGCTCAAAGTTGCAGCCACGACAGATCTTATATTTTTCATCCAGTGTTCTCTCTGGAACACAAAGGCCAGAGAGTGCTAAGCAAGAACAGTCTAAAATTCAATTATCACAACCCCTCAGTTTCTTTCATGGGATTCTTTTTCTCCACCACTGTTTGCTTCTTTTTTCACTTTCTGTGCAAACCTTAGATGACTTTATGGCTTTGTCTACCAGCCATGAGCTCCTAATTCTCTAACCTATAGCTCCAACTCAGATTTCTTTCTGTAACTCAAGATTTATAAATCTAACCACCTGCTAAATGTCTCTACCTGGATGTCTCACAAGAAACTCAAACCTAAAATTCTAAAATAAATTTATTTTCTCCCATTAACTTGTCCATCTTCCTATTGTCCCAATGGCACCAGCATCCATCAAAGACAGAAACCTGAGAAACATCCTAGATTACTTTTATCCCTTTTTCTCCACATCCGAGTCTTGTAGTCCAGTCCAAAATTTAAGTCTATCGGCATCCCAAGCATGTCAGGCAGTCTCATGCCTTTTGTACTTTTTTTTAAAAATTTATTGGGGTGGCACTAGTCTACACGAAACATATAGGTTTCATGTGTGGATTACTGATTTACAAACCCTGTTTATAGGACCATGTGCCACCACCCAAAGTCACATCTTCTCCTGTCACCTCATATGAGGACCCCTTCTGCCCCCACCCCCTCCCTCTGGCAGCCCCCTCACTGCTGTTTGTGTTCATGAGGTTCAGTTTTACTGTATGTCCCACATATGAGTGAAATCATATGGTCCTTAGCTTTCTCTGACTCCTTTCACTTCGCATAATGTTCTCAAGGTCCACCATGTTGCTGTAAATGACGCTATTTCCTCCTTTCTTATGGCCATGTGTCTTTGTACTTTTAAATACACTGCTCACTCTACTTAGAAAACCCCCCACTTCCTTCTTTGCTTGACTAACTTCTCTCATCTTTTAGAACTGAGCTGAAGGATTATCTCTTCTAGAACACAAAATAACTAGCATTTATTAAGCACATGCTATATTCCGGTCACTGTGCAAAACACTTTGCATGAACTGTCTTGCCTAATAATCAAAATACAGTGATGAGGTAGGTACCATTATGCTTTTACAGGAGGGAAAGGACAAGAGTAGGAACTCACGGGTGGTCATAGATAGTGAACAGTATGAATATGATTCAAGCACAAGCATGCCCGACTCCAGTGCACTTCCTGTGGTCTTAGCACCTATTATCCCACAGCTTCCCCTTCCACCTGCTCCTGCCCCAATCCCATAACCTCATGCTTCTCTACCTGCCATAAGAAGAGCTGTGTAAATTTTTTTATTTTCTTTATTGATTAAGGTATTACACATGTGTCCTTACCCCCTTCTTGCCCCCACCCCTCACCCCGTCCATTGTAAATCTTATGGCTTGGTTTGTCTTTTCTCAAATGAGTCTGTGAGCTAACTTGACAAGGTCTGTTTTATTGATGTTTCCTGCCAACCAGCAGAGTGTCTGGCACATGGTAGACCCTCAAAAAGTATTAGGATCCTCTCTCTTCCATTTCCCCCCACGTCTGAAACGCCCTCCCTCCTCAAACCTATAGCACTGGACCCCCTCTGCCTCCCGCAGACGGGCACTCTGTGATGCCGAGGGACATTTAGAGAGTCCTCGTGCAGATTCCTTTGCCGGAGTGACTGTCCAACTAACAGTTGGTAAAGGAATCTGAAATTAGAAGAGCTATTGTTTAACTCTGTTTTCCTTTCTCTTATGTAGGTTTTTCCCATCTGTTAAACACTAGCCATGGTTAGCAACCATGTGCCCAAGCCACAAAGGGCTTTCTGATTCACTTATAAAATGTTTCCCCACGTTAGGCACTGGGGGAAATGCAAAGTCGGGTTAGGGGAGGGTTTCTGGTCTCTAAAGCAGTTCAGTCTAATAGTGGCCCCCGAATCAAAATCCTAGGAAACACGCGCGTGAGCAAGCGTGTGCGGTCCCGTGGCTCTGCAGCGACTGCCCTTGTCAACTTAGTTCCTGGGCAGCAGCCCGCCCCGCCGTCCGCCCGCCCACCACCCGGCGCCGCGAGCTCGGGGCCAGACCACGCCTGTCGGGGTGCGGGGAAGCGGGGGAGTGAGGCCCCGTCCCCGTCAGACCCGGGCCGGCCCGACTCCGCCGCTCGGAGCTCCCAGGGGCGTGGCTCTCCCCGCCCCGCCGCCCACTCGGCCCGCGGGCTCCGCGGCGGCTCCGGGGCCCTCCCTGCCCGGGCCGCGATGCGGCCTTGTTCGCGCCTTCTCTGGGCCGCGGGCTTCTACGCCCTCGGAATAATAAATAACCTGCGACAACGCCCTCTACCTCAAGCAGTTCCGTTGCTATAGCGAGGCGACGGTGCTCTCGGCATCTTCGCCGCCTGGGGAGTTCCGGGCGTAGTACGCCCTTGCATCATTCCGTCTGTGTCCCGCCCCTCGTCTAGGGCTTCGCCTCAGGCCCTCTCAGCGAGATC